GCTTTTCACTGCCCGCACTGTATGGCGTTCACTTTTCTATAGAAGAAAAGAGATCATATACTGTTTTCGAAGAACAGCAGTTACTCTGGTACGCTTAATTACTTGTCATAATGCTTTTTTTGAAAAAAAAAACCAAACAACAAAAATTCACTGGGCAGTTATATTCTACTTTGATGATCTATTAGCCGTTGTTATTTTCATTTTTGTCGTATGCATATTTTTTTCTTACATCTCAATGCACGGTCAGCCTGAATTAAGTTATACATATGGAAAAATTACAAGTTTTTAATTAAAGTTATCGAAGAATCATCATTTTTTTTTTTTTTTTTGAGTTCGAATTTTTCAAGAATCAGACACATATATGATGCATCAAATGAGAAAGTTAAAAATTGTTAACATGGCGCTGAAAAATAATACTTACTCAAAGAACATGATTCTTTTAATATTATGTTTTCTTTCTCATAATAAACAAACAACAATGACGAAAAATATTAAACGAACTGGAATAAAGAAGAGAAATTATTATTAACAATGTCGTTCAATCTATTTCGAATACGTTGCTTTCTGTTTGATTGGGCTAAAAAAAGTAATTTATACTGTAGTGATTAATCTTTAATTGTTAAAGAAAAAAAAACATTTTAATCAAATTCATATATTAGATATCGTTGAACAAAAACTATAAAAAAAAACAAAAAAGCCAAAAACAAAATCAACTGTTAAATCAATGATTATTTCTATTTTCATCATACAGAACTTGATCAATAACAATAACAAGTGCTAAAATAAATGTTTGATCTTCATTTGCTGCTATTTCAACACCATATGTGTCAGCTAAAGAAAAGAATGCTGTACTTATAGTTACTACTACTTGTCCTTGTTTTGTCAATACAAATGAATGAGCAAAAATGTCAAGTCCTTCGATAGCATACTAACCATAGACAGATTGGATATCAAATTTTTGATGAAAAAACGAAAATTTCTTTTTTTATACTTGCTAATTGTCGATCTGAATCACCATCACGAGCCGATAATATATTAAATGTAGGATGAAAATGAAATAATTCTTGATGAATTTTAAGTAAGCCGCTATAAAGAAAAAACATAGAATGAGGATAAAATTTTGTTGTTACACTAACTATGACGATGATATTCAATTGTTAAAAATGCAACTTTTCAAACTGGTAGTAATATTTCTATTCTTTCAATATGGATTATCTTTGAATAAACTAGAGACGCATATTCGCAAATGAAATCGAATATCGCATTTATAGTTACTATTCATTTTTTCAAAATATTATGTACTCCACGTTTTTTACCATTCAGAAAAGAATACCTTAAAGTCTTGTTGAAGTATGTTAAAATTTGATTGATCAGCAATTGGTCAACCAGATGAGTTCTTGTTTGAGATTGCCGAAAACGATATTTTAAAACTATTTCTGTTTCGATCGATGCAAGACAGACATTTCTAGCTTGTTCAATTTGAGAGTTAGAAGACTTTTCCTAAGACTTTCAGTTTCAACCACTTGACCTGTCATCACGCAAAAAAGTAGCTAGGTAGAGGTAATTCATCAGGTGGGGTCGAATGATGATATTTGTTTTTAGGCTCCAATTGATCTGACTCTGTGATTTTAATATTTCTGAAATTTCACAATTTGCCTCCAGTCAACGAAGAAGTCGGCACATCTCAGCAATATCGAGATAACATCGTCAGATAATTTCGAACCTAAAAATAAATATCACCATTCGATTCAGCAATGTGAGTCGATTCTGCCTATCTACTTGTCTCAATGATCACAGGTCAATTGATTGAAACTGAGAGTCTTAGGCACAGTCTTCTTACTTTCAAATAGCACAAGCTAGGGGTGTTTGCCTTACGTAGATCAAAAGAGAAATACCTACAGAATATCGTTTTCGAAAATCTTCACCAAGAGCTCATCTGATCGATCAATTGATGAACAATCAAATTTCGATATACTTCGATTGCCCCAGGTCTTCTCTCTTGAATGTTAAAAATTGCAGGTCTTGATGATTTTCCTATCAAAATTTATGGTAAGAATAGTGGATCACATGATACATTGAAATGCATAATAAATATCTGCACCGACAAAACTAATTAATCTGTTTCATTCTTTATAAAATGTATGAAAAAGATATTTTGGTTCATATTCAAAATATACCCTTTTCCATATATAAAATGTTGGATTCTTTTGTTTGATAACGTTATATCTATTCTATTGAGTAAAAGAACTTTGGTGACTTACTTTCCAGCCATATCTTCAAGAGTAAGTTTGTTGCCAAATGAAAAAATTTTAGATCGAACAGTGAATTACATCTCGACCAAATTCATCTTTTATTTTAAAATTATCACCAAGTGAAAAGATTTTTTTTCGAATTTGATATCGACAAACAGTTATAGGTTGATAACTTGGAAATGCTGGTGGATATGCAGGATATGAAGGATATGCATTAGCCATTGTCAAGAATGTTTCGTATGAATAGAGCACGCAGTGACTCTCAACTCAAATATTTATTGATGATAAGTCTCTAACGATTTTTGTGACTCTGTTTATTATGGTAACTATGATGGAGAATAATGACGTAAATATCAATAAGGTAACAGCATTACTGCTTGCGTGTTTCTTTTGATACGCTAGATAAACAACGGCAAATGGTAAAAAGCGAAGGAATGCGTATACGAGAAAATGCAGAACACAAAGATGTTTTATAAACATTNATCCTCTTTCATATGGCTCGAACAACACCATGTTTTGTCCTTATAATAGTAGAGTGACTTTTTTCTATAGCTCATAGAAAACGGCGTTTTCTATTAACCAGCAAAAAAATTCACTCTACTATTATACGGGTGAAACATGATATTGTTCGGGCCAATCTGGGGGTTATCAAGGATGCTCTTCCATATGGCCCGAATAACCGTATGTTCCGTCCGTATAATAGTAGAGTGAATTTTTTTGCTGGTTGATAGAAAACGCCGTTTTCTATGAGCTATAGAAAAAAGTCACTCTACTATTATATGGACAAAACATGGTGTTGTTCGAGCCATATGAAAGAGGATCCCTACAAACCCCATAATCGGCCCGAACAACACTATGTTTTGTCCTTACAATAGTGGAGAAAACCTTCCCTGATTCATTTTTATACCTAAATTTCACATTTCATAACTCCCGCTAGAAGCAACTTGTGCCCGAACTAATTTGGAGTTTATCACTCCTAGCTATGCCCTACCTAACCATCATATTCCTGACCGAAAAGCTTTTTATCACCTCGGGTGGTTCCCTCGTCAGTCATTTCTGAATGAGTACGATGTTTGGCACGTACCTTCAAGGTTCTGTGTTGAAATCTTAGTATCAAGAGCTATGGAATGACCCTAAACAATTCACTAGCGGCTATTTGTTTCGGATTATTCGTCCGATACCATGCTGGCTACATTGTAACATGTACCTGCTCTTGTGGTTAGTGTGAGATTAGTTAGTATGTGTAAGGAGTTCAAGCAATGGAATCCGAGAGTTCGTTGTGTCAGGCTGTCCTTCCATCCAGTGCTACACATAGTATTAGTTGTAGGAAAGATATCCAGCTACTGAATCTGCCACTAATGCACATCTCATGTTTGTAAGATAGTCGAAAAGTAGAGGAATTCTTCCTTCCTGTCTTGATTTTTCATCACTTCGCAGATAAAAATTAGTAATGTGACAGATGTAGTAAAGTAGACTATAATAGCAAAGAGTGTCAATATTTTACGTTCAGATTTAATTTTGGAACCTCTAAAAGACTGGATCATAACTCCTTAACCATATGTTCTATAAAAGTTTCGAATCTATATTTAGAAAGAACAAAAAATTCTAATTTCAACTGAATGTCTTCAAGTTCCTATAGACTCTTTAAAAAAGCTAAAAACATGAATGATTTTTTGGTCTAATTTTTTTTCAATCTCACAGATAGCCTCTCTAATATCCATGGTAAATTCTGTATTATACCAAATACAAGATAAATCATTAAAGTTTTCTCGTCGAAAATTAAAGGAGATTTCTCAGATTTTACACTTCAATTTCATAGATATGGCACTGATAATTTGAAATAGATTCGTTTTTCTAATATATGAATCTTGCTACCATACAACTGATCGAGTCCACGATATACATGATTAATAGAATGATATGAACGAAATTGCGTTAGTTCTAAAATAATCTTTTTTCTCTAGTTTCAGAAATCAGTACGAATAGAATCGTTAAAATGTAACACGTTCCATAATACACTGTATCTAAAAATTAAAAAACACAAGAATCAGTTTTAAAAAGTTTCTATTTGTGCTACATTTATCGAAATAGATACAATACTTTCGTAAAAAATATTCATGTTTCTCTATTCAAATGATTATTATAAATACTTTATTTATCAATAAAATAATGGTTTAAACTCTCATAATTACATCTAATTTTATATGACAGAAAATTCATTATCAACTCTTAATATTTATTCAATGTGTTATTTTTCCTAATATCAAATCTGTGATAAAAAATACAATTAAGTCTTTAGAAATAAATCTCACGAAACTTGAGAAAAGAAATTATTCATACTAATAATAAACAGAATCATATTAAACGAATAAAAAAAAAAGATTGTGTGGATTATTTAAAGTTTTTTTTCTTTTATCGATTATCAATAACGAAATATAAATACTAGAGTCGATTGTCATATACAGAAAAAACAAAATCTATTTAAACTAAAAAATATCTATATAAATACTAATATGAGAAACATCATAGTACAATATCTTCTTATTTCTTAATCAAAGTGATGAAAGAATTAACACGAAAACATATATAGAAACTTGACTAATCAAACGGACAAAAAAAACAATATGTTGTCAATTTAATTCTCTGCTCTAATTTGAATTTTTTTTGTTCGTAAGTCTGTTAATCATCATCATCATCGTCACTGTATACAAATAAATCCATTTTTTCAAGACCCAATGCTCCATATTTGCTTACAAGTGAACCAAGATAAAGAAATGGAATTGCAATAAATAGAACTTTCATTATACCAAGAGGATATCGTTTAGGCATCTAAATGTAAATAAATAAATAATGAAAATAAAAAAAAAAACAACAATGATTTTTTTTTCTTCTTTTTATTGACTTACTGGTCGAATTGCACCGGATTCTGTATAAACACCTTTTGACATGTATGGTTCAAGTCGAATATCATCTTGTTGAGTTTTTCTACGACGATCTGCCATAAAACGAATAAGAAATGATCGAAGTGTTGCTCGTGTTGTAGCGGCTTGTTGTGTTGTAGAAACATGTCGACGAATTATTGGAACCACTATATTATCACATAGTTTTCTACTTGCCATAGAAAATAGGTTTAAATACGTAAACACACGAAGAATCGATAATACTAACTAATACTGTTCTATAAACTTCTTCTAGCAAAATGTTATTTTTATAATAGGTTACGGAGACTAAATAAATGTATTGATTGGTTATATTCATTTATCGAGTTACGAAACATCTCGAAAGAGGTCACTTTTTGCATGTCTACACAAGTTTTTGCTAATAGCTTTGGTTTTAATTTTTGTTTTATATTGAAAACGAATTAATTTCAGTTTCTTTTGTAATATTTAATAAAAAAAAACGAGAAATCGGAATTCTTTCCTCTTTATTCATATACATGTAATTCAATTCTTCTCTATTCTGTTATATAGAATTCGAAAAGAAAAATAATCGATCGAAAGTGTTACACTAACTTGTTTTTGTATGATAAAAAGAAAACAATTAGGAGTGATTTCAGATAAAATCAACAATGACTTCATCACCATTTGATCTTCCAACACTTCGAAATCATTATAGTTTTTATACAATTAATAATAAACAAATTCCTATTATCTATCGGTTTGTTCATTCTATTTTTCTTTCAAATATGTATTTATCTTTATAAATAGACTTAAATCGGGTATTTATTATCCATATATTGCTTTTGACCTTATTGTTCATGAACTAGACACTCATTGTTCAACATGGAATTCATCAAAAAAATTACCCTTACTACCAATGACAATGAATGAAAGTTTATTATACAAAATTTTATATCCAAATAAAGATTTCTCATCTTCATCAAAACTTATTTTATGTTCAATAATTGATCAATTTCTTGAATTAGTTAATTTTTTAAAAAATACTAAAATTTCATCAACAGAAAATGATGAACGAAAACTCTTTGCTCGTTTTAAAATAGATATTAAATATGGATCAATACAAGAAATTGATATACTTAATTCTGAAGCAACAACAAAGTACAGAGATAATTAGTTATTTTCCTTAAAAATAAATTATGGCATTTTTAGATATAATTATCTTCGTTCAACACTTTTTCCTTCACTTCAAACTGTCAAGCGCAAACTTTGTTTCGATGATGAGAAGGTAGAGAAGAATCTTTTTTGCTTGTTTTTTGTTTTTAATTAAACGTTTATTTGTATTTTAATAATTACTTTTTCTTAAGTTTGATCTCTCATCAATTGGTGGTTATCTTCAATTAGATCGTTGTATATATCCATATATTATCACATCATCCGATATTCTTCTTAATTTAAATGATCTTCGTAAGCCATTTTGTTCAACATTAAATACTCTAATGCCATATTTCAATTCACAACCAGTAAATTTAATAAATAATTATATGAAAATAGTTGAATATGGTACGCGTTATATAAAAAAATATAAATATTATTATAAGGATGTTGATGATAAATTTATTTCTCTTTATCATTTACTTTTATGCCATCGTTCCTTTTTCTTTGTACAATTATTTAATTCGAAAAAAATTTCATTAAAAATTTTACATGAATATTATCGATCAGATTTTTCAAATTTATTAACAAAAAATATTTCGGATAGTGGATATTTAAATAATCAACCTTGTATTAATGGATGGTGTTTATTTGATTCAACATTAGATAATGACAAAAAAACTCGTTTAGCTACACAAGATGAAACTGTTTTAATTGATTGGCTTTTAATTTATGATAATAAATGTCTAAATGTACATAATCAAATAAATGATCTTATTCTTGTTAAACAACAGTTATCTGTAATTACGGAAAAAATGAAATTTATTCAAAATGAACATGTTAAAAAACGAGCAATATTAAGTAATCATATTCCTATGTAATTAAAGTTTTTTCTTCTTTTTTATGTCTGTTTTTTTTTGTCTTAACTTCAATATGATTATATATGAGATGTGTCTTTGAATGATTATTAAAGGAGAAAAATAAAAATATTTTCTTAGTTATTTCACACAATATAGTTGAAAGCATAGTCATCGAATTTACTGATAGTTTCGATTAGATTGTCATACAATAAACTAAAGTCTTCGCCGTGAACCAAGTAAAGCTGCGCAATGTGGACAATAATGCTCAGTATCCTATAGAAAGACGAAAAAAAAAATATTTTTCTTTATTTTATTGTTATTAAATCTGAATTGACATACTTTGAGGCTAGCAATACAAAATGGAATAAGACAACAACCTAGCCAACCACCCAATAAAAGAATTCCACCACAAATTAACCATGGTAGTACACCTTCTTTTTTTTCAACACGTGTGACAATAACTTGATAACAATGAGGACAAGTACATTGTACAGGTATATCGCCAAACATTAACGATTGCGTTGTTATGAGCATACTAGTACCAACAGGTGGTGCTTGTGGTGGTAAAGCCATAACAGATGTTGGATACATTCCAAAAGGTGGTGCTTGTGGTGAAAAATTCGAAGGGGATGTTGGATACATACCAAATGTAGTTGACATTGGTTGAACTTGCAAAGTGTAAGTTGCTTGTTCTATAAATTAAGAAAATAATTTTTCATATAGAACTATATTTTCATTGACTAACTGTATTACCATAGGTAGGAGGAGGATTTAATTTTGTTTCCGTTGGATAAACACTAGTCATTTGCGTTCTTAGTGGCTTTGACTCTATAATGACGATTTTGTGGATAGGAAATCTCTGTAAACTCGTTTCTTTTTTTTTCTTCTATTCTATTCACTTTTTTTTCTGACGTCACTCGTCCTTGTTAGACTAAGGAAAAAATGTCAGAATTCATTTTCTTTCTTGGCTACCCTCTTATATTTAATTTTTCTTCCTGCCTAAAGGAGTCTGTGAACTCAATGAGGAACAACAGAGCATCCTTGACGCGATAGCAAAAAAAATCTAAACTTTTCTAAACTCTGCTATTTTTTCTCTATAATAAAAGAATTATATGAAAACAGTTGAACTATTATCTCGAAAGATTTAATATTTAGCTATATGTAATCTTTATTGAATACGAATAAAATAGTCACAAAAAAAATAGAGATTAAGATTTTATCATAGTTCAATATTTATCAGAAATTGCTATAATTTTTTGTTCACACCAAGCATTACGCCACAACTTGGACAATAATGTTCTGTATCCTACATAATTCATAAAATAGACAAATATTTTAAATAGAAATAATACTGACCTTACAACCATCAACACAAAATGGTATAAAACAACAAAGCCACAAACCAAAAATGAAAAGAACAGCACAAATAATCCAGGCTAAAAGTCCAGACTTCTTTTCTGTTCGTGTAACAATTTGTCTTCCACAATGAGGACACATACATTGCATTGGGTAGTCACCTACAATAACAATTGGAGCTCCGACATATATTGGTTGTGCCATTGGTATTGGTGGTGGTGGTTGTTGATAATTGACGGGTTTTTCAGGCTCTATTCAATAAAATAACATCACTAAATAGTAAACAATTAACACAATTTAGTTTACCATAAGGTGGTGGTAGTCCCTGTGCCGAGTTCATTTTTTTTTCTTACTGTTTTGCGCAATTTTTAACAAAATGAGAGTTGCAGTAAAATATAAAAAAGTATTTTCATTTATATAAAAATGACTGATGAATACAACACAAGTATAAAAATGTTGCGATAGAAACAGCACAAAAAAAATGTTTTATTACTGACAATATATTCCAAAACAGGTTTCAGATAAGAAAACAACAAAAAAAAAAAAAAAGAACAGAAACAACATAGCAGAAATATTTCTTTCTCTGCTTAATAATAAAAATAGGCGCTGTTAAAATAGAAAGTTAGCAGTTTCAATAGTGTTTCTATTATAGAGAACTTTTAATAGGTTATGTGTGTTTACGGTAAAATGTGAGAAAAATATATTAATTCCACGTTCACACAAATAAGTCACTGAACGATATACGAAGCTTACCAAACTTAAAGCAATTTGAATATATTCTTCCTCTATAATATAGATTATCATGAGGTTTTAGGTATCTATATACTCACATAAAATAATATCTTAATTGGGAAAATAAGAATTAAACAGTCAACATAAGTTTTCTTCCTCCCTTGGCTTTAAGGATTATTCATTTAAGGACGTACGGATAAAAATTGAATCTTTTGACTTTCTTCCCTCCTATATTCAGATATGTCTAGTTCTGATGCACCCCTCTTCTCTGTTACCTAATCATCCTTATAGATGATTCTTTATGATCAAAACTAAAACATTAATGTATTTGTTACGATAAGAAAAACATGATGCACTCTTTCTTTCTTAATCAATCGAATAACTAACATATTAAATATACATTTGCTGATATATATGGAAAGCCTTCTAATCGCGATTACTCTTCTGATGACTCATATGAGATTTGGTGGAAATAAAAAATGTCAAAAGCACGATTATTGTAGATTCAGCTCGCCTATTTACCTACATTACTTGAATAATCTACAGTAACATCCATATCGGACACTTGTAGGTAACTAACAATGTGTAGTCAAAGGGTACTAGTATAATTGTCGACATTTGTTGGTTCTACTAAATCCTTAATTTTCCTTCAGATACCATACAAAGGTTTTAGTTGAAATAGCATAGTTAGTTGTTTTTATTCAATTTGTCGTTCGAGTTTAGTCTATGATGAAAAGACTTGTTTGCATTTATTTTTTGAAAATAAAAACAAAGTTTGCGGCTCTAGGTATTAACACGTTCGACAACATGGTCCATTTGATTTATGTGAATACTTCTAAGTAATTCATGCAGACCATCTATTAATATACGACAAGAAAAAATTGAAGCTAAAAATTCGAAAACAGTTCTATGTCTATATTTAGTTTATTCTAATCCACTATTTTCAGTCATGTATCCATATGTTTTCAATCCTATTTTAGTCAGTCCCTCAGAAACGATTAATTGAAATGATAATTCTTCAATATCAAATTTGTATTGATTTGCATAAAAGTATATTTTCTTTATTATTCAAGCGTTGTTTCTTCATCTCATCTCACAATATCTTTTCACATACTACATATTAGTTGAAAAGTATTATTTAGTATAACATCGCATTATATTTATCAAATTTCAATGTATAATACATAGCAGTGAATAATAAATGACCCATACTCTATCGATATCGATGATTATTATTCAATCTCGAGAAAACAGTTTCTAACTTTCAATAATCTCTCTCAGAAATGTAAGAAGTCGAAAATTGTTTTTTTTTATTTTTCAAAAAAACTATGTATTTTATTCTAGCCAGGATAATATCTTAATTTCTCTGAGATGCAAACCGTCATCAAGGAAGAACACTGGAGAGTACTCGAAGTAGTTTTCCGTGAGTTTGTTTACCTGACTACTGGTAGTATATGTTTCATATCACGTCAAACGTGAACTTTATTTTCAATATTTTTCATCATTTAATAGAGAATTAAAAGTTACATAATATTTATAAAAATCAGCTTGATTACTTTTGATTTCAAAAAATTGCAGCAAATATACTGTCAAAAAACGAACACTATAGGCTTGCTAAGTTGTGACCTTTTGTTATTGACGTTGATCCAGTATATAAATGATATGTGATATTTGAAATAGCTTATCTTTTTTGAGATTCTGATACTGGATCTTGTGTGATATTTCATGAAGAAATTCTCGAATTTATGGAAGTATAATTCTAGTAGACATTGATCGGACAATTTATTATTATTTTCTTGATAATATGTAGATAGTTCTAAAATGTCGATCAAGAAAAACTTTACTATGAAGCAGTCGAATGAACTAAAAATTTAGATTTGTTGATGTCAAATGACAATCTTTCGAATGCACATGAAAAGTCAAAAAAATCAAACTTTGATTCCTATCTTGCATACTAGGGCGATCCTCGGCATTCTCATGGATGCTCTCCTAATTACATAGTAGTTATTCATTCTTTTTATGAGCCAGTCCATGTAAACCCCGGCCGATTACTGTAGGATCTGCTCAATTGATATCCTCCACTTTGACTCATTTTAACATATGTGATAGAGACAAGATTTTGAGGAATTTTGGCGAAAGCTGATTCAAAAAATTTTGAACCTTCGATTTTTTATCGGATTTTTATGAATAGCACTATAAAACCCAATATAACCAAAGGCGATTTTGGGTGCTCTATATCTCAAAAACGACTCAACCTATTGAGCGAAAATTTGTTGCGAATTTATAGACCAATAAGATTTGCATACAGAAAAAATTTCAGTTTCAATGATTGAGTCCTTGGTTTTTTATGGATTTCCCTATTGAAGGAAAAACTCACTAATTCGACCAACGTTGGCACTTCATATCTCCTGACTGAAGAGTGATAGAGGGCTAGAATCTCTTTTTGCAAACATATATTAATGAGATATTATTACCCTGAAAATTTCAGCTCTGTAGGTCAAACTATTCGTCCAGGGTACTTTGGGCAAAAATCCAATTTTGGACCTCGGTTTTCAAGAGTCGTGGTACCTAAAATTTTGCCCGAGTTGTCTAGTCTGAAAGACTTCACTTGGATCTACAATGTAACCCAAGAATCAGGTTGGGACAAGTAGAAACGGCTTTGAAAAAGATTCATCTTTTGTCAAAAAAATGTAACTGATAAATTTTTTTCTAGGTACTTCACCTTTTGCAGATTTCTAGAGAACGGCTCATTAGAAAAAGTGAAACTTTCAGAGGAGATAGCTCTCGAATAGTCGAGAGAAATTTGCACTAAACTAAAGTTTGTACAATGCTTTCATCTGTGAGATATTCAGATTCCAATGGGTCAAAGGTTTATTCGTAAATTAAAAGAAAAGTTTCATCCCAATAAATAAATTCTACTTACTATTAATCAGCACACGAACCTTGTTTCATTTCTGAAAGGAGTCCTTTCAAGATGAAAAAAAAAATATTTTGAAAATTCCCGTAGGGAGGGGGATAGGGGATTTGAAAAAGACAGGTTTCCATCAGAAGCTTTGAAGAGGGTACGGGAATTTTGAAAAAAATTTCTTTTTTCATTTTCAGAGAACTTCTTTTAGAAATGAAACAAGGTTCGTGTGCTGATTAATATTAAGTAGAATTTATTTCTTGGGATGAAACTTTTCTTTTAATTTACGAACAAAACTTTGATCCATTGAAATTTGGACATCTCACAGATGAAAGCATTGTACAAACTTTAGTTTAGTGCAAATTTCTCTCGACTATTCGAGAGCTATCTGCTCTGAAAGTTTCAGTTTTTTCTAATGAACCGTTCTCTAGAAATCTGCAAAAGGTGGAGTATCCAGAACAAAATTTAACAATTGAATTTTTTGCCAACAAGATGAATCGATTTCAAAGCCGTTTCTACTTGTCCCAATCTGATTCTTGGGTTACATTGTAAATCCAAGTGACGTCTTTCAGACTAGACAACTCGGGCAAAATTTCAGGTATCACGACTCTTGAAAATTGGGTTTTCGACGAAAAATCCGATTTTGCCCAAAATATCCGGGACGAACGCTTCTCTTAACGGAGCTGAAAATTTTTCTGTGATGAGATCTGATTGCGATGTATTTGTTTAAAAAAGTTTCAGACCTTTATCATTTTTCAATGCGAAGATATGAGCTACCAAAGGAGACCAACATAGTGACTTTTTTCCTCCCATAGTAAAACTCATAAAAAACCAAGGACTCAATCATTCGAGCTGAATTTTTTTTGTGTAGAACCTGTTGATATATAGAACTACAAAAAAATTCAGTTCAATAGGTTGTGTCGTTCTTGAGATATAATGCGCTCAAAAACCCTTCCCGATGATAATGGGGTTTTAGTGTTCTCTTTTTAAAGACTCAATAAAAAATCGAGGGTTCACCATTTTTGAATTGGGTTTCGCCAAAAATAATCAAACTCTTGTCTCTATCACGTATGTTTAAATGAGTTGAATCGAAGGATATCGATTGAGCAGTGTCGGTCGTGGTTTACGTGGACTGGCTCTTATTGCATATTAATTAAAAGATACTATGCTGACCAATTAGATTTCTGCACAAATGACAAGTGTGCATAGCGTCTTGAACAGAAGAAATGCGAAATGAAGTTAAACAACAACCGAAAACACCACCAAAAATAACAAATTGGAACTGAAATGACATAGGTACCCAAGCAGACAAACATTGTCCAAAACGCGTTTAAACACACAAAAAAGGGCTTAAAATCCACAAAAAGTGGACGTGTTTGGCTCATAATCGCGGTTCCCGACTGTCAGCGAAAAAACACTCACTTTTTACTTTTTTTGTGCGTTTAAACGCGTTTTCAGCAAAAAAACGCTTAAACGCATAAAACGATCATAAAAAGTTGTTATCTTTTTCATACTCGTAAATCACAATCATAATTGTGATCACAGCTCACGAAAATGAAAAGGACCACTGCTTTTTATGTTCTTTTTATACGTTTATACGCGTTTACGAGCACTTTTGCTGAAAACGCGTTTAAACGCACAAAAAGAGCAGAAAGTGAGTGTTTTTCGTTGACAGTCGGGAACCGCGATTGTGAGCCAAACATGCCCACTTTTTGTGGATTTTAAGCCTTTTTTGTGCGTTTAAACGTGTTTTTGAAAATGTTTGTCTGCTTGAGTAGGAGCACCAGTTTCAAATCGAATAATAGTAACAACCTGTTGGTGATATCTTGGATATTTCATTTATGAAGGACCACGATCTACAGATGGTGTACCGATCAATGGATACATAACTTTTGTTTGACTATATACAGAAATTGATGGCGAAGTTTCTAATAAACAGACATGTATATATTTCATTGATTTCAATCTTGTCCATTTATCGAAATGTGTTGAATGAACAGGATGTGAAATCTGTTGTTGCCATGGTATTGTAGTGTCTGTCTCATCGTGAAACGAATGTAGTGGTAGTGTGTTTTTATGTAGTCTGGATACGTTGCACTTTCTATGTTGATATGACTTCTATTTTAGAATATTTTTCTCACGTTTTATAATGTAGAAAGCGATATTTAATCAGAATTCTATTCTTTTATGAGTTATACGTCATTTATTGCCATCACTGTTTTTCTTACTTATTTAATTGATATCGAAAAAATTGAACCATGTCTGTTACATTTACTATTATTATGTTTTTCTTTTATCTAATTTGTTTTGATTTCACTTCAGAAAAGTGTCATTTTGCCGATTAGATTTTGACACCGTGGACAAAAATGATTTTTATCTTTCAAATCAGATATACAAAATGGAATAAGGCAACATCCACATAAAAGACTAACAATAAATATGAAATCTATAATATATATAAGTTAAAAAAATACATTTACCCAAATAAAGCAAGTAAAATACAAAGAAGAAATATAATTGCGCCATTTTCTTGTTCGATAACAGTCGTTATTGTATGCCCGCTAAAATATGTCAATTTATGCTGGTTTCTCTTCATTTTGAAAGACAAACATAAATAAATTCTCACCAATAAGGACAATTCATAGTAACAGGCTGATTCCCAAATTTGATTGTAGTTGTTTGAACTATTGGTACCATTGGTATGGATGAATTATATGCTATTAAAATATTTATTGAAATTCAAATTAATAGAATCAATATAAAACCAAATAATTTTACGAGTATTATATTGTTCTGTTTGTTCTTGACTACTAGTCAACACTTGTTGGTACGTTGGAAGATGATCTGTAGAAGCAAATGAACTCATGTTTATACGTTATGTGATAAAAATAAGTTTAATAAGAGAAAAATAAATTATATATATATATATATTTAGCAGAGAGATAGAAGAAAGAAAAAACTATTATCAGCGCTTTATTTTTCATGTTAAGTTGTCTAGAAGTCGATTATATTATTGAACGCATAATGCTATGATAGATAAAAACATAAAATATGAATATCTACTGAAATAATTTGTTTACAGGAGAACTCCTGAACAAAGAAAATACTAAACGAAATCTAGATTATTAGCCAAGTCATGGACTTGATCGTTTTCTCTAACATTTTACATCGTCAGTTGGTGACTTTATACCTTTTTAACAATCAATACAGAATAGAATGTCAACGTCATAGACGACAAAGCTACGAGATTTAGATAGATTCGCAGATTGGATAGATAAAGTCTTAAGTAGACTCGATTAGATGTAAAAAAATTTTATCACTGTTTAATTTTCATTTTCTTCTGATAGACAACGCGTTGTTGCAAGATCAGTCCACAGTTTATTTGTTGAATACGTAACAAAACAAGCTGGCAAAACTATATTTTCTGAATACTGTAAATTGTTATTGTTATATTTGAAAAATATCCGTAACGACAACAGCCGTCGGTGAGCAATCCTTCAATATTAACAATCGAATAAAAATATACTTATGCTACATAACGATTCAATAACGTTTTAAATCATGTCAGCAAATTGTTCGTTCATTCAAAATACTTGCTAAAATCATAAATTAAATGTTACATTATTATTATTATGAGCATTTCCATTGAGATGATTAATATTTAATCTACGATATTTAGTTAAAACTGTTTCTCCCATTGTATAAATAAATTATATCGATCATTATCATCAATTGTTTTCTTACGTTCATTAAGTGTATGTTTAATAATAAGATCAAGCAGAAAACGTTCAGATGTAAGATATAGTAATTTGCTATTGTTTTCATTATAATTACAACAAATACGTTCTGCATGATTAAATATTATTGAATAAGCTTAAAGCATAAGATCATCACGATTATCTATTTGATGAAAAGAACGAACAAGTAAAATAAGATTTGGTTGAATTGGGTCATGAAAAAGTGAATAATCAAGTAATTAGAAGACGTTTCTGTATCAAACGATTTTGATCAATATCATATAATGTAACTGATGCTCATAAATAAGTTGTTATTCAGCATTTTTTTTACAGTATTTTGAAACAAGAAATAGATCGAAGAAAAATTTCTAATGTTATTTCTACAATTTTCTATTCATTTGTGAAGATAAATTACAGAATACTATAAAGAGAAGAATATACGAAAATGCATAGATTTAATTTTTATATTTGAGGAATCACTTCCAAATTTGAGTCTTCTATTTGAACTCATATTTGCCTGGTAGATTTTATCCGTAATGTAAGTTAGTTAAAAGATTCTAAAAAGATATATTTCACTGTAATTTAGTTCTGCAGAAAAGAATTCTATAAGTTCAACAGAGAGTTTTGTAAACTAAATGTTGATAAGATAGTGTTGATCTAGGTGAGACCGCTCTTGGAAAACTTTTTTTTTGTATTCGTATAATGCGGAGCACATTTCAAAAATAAATTAATTTTCAATAAAAATGATTCAACACTAATTATTGTTAATTTAAAAAAAAAAGAGAGAAAACATAGAAATCAAGATCGGAAAATTATGTTACCTTTCTCGTTACTATCTTCTCAAAAGTCATCTCAAAAATAATTGTAAATAGAAAGAAAATTTGAGCTTATCTAAGATCTCACGAGTGATCCATAAAGAACTGCTCTCTTAGTATTTTCAAAATTTCTTCTCTATTTTTCGATTGACGAAAACATCTTTTTTATCAAAAGATAATGTTCCAATATCTCTACAAAACCATATATGAAACAATCATAAAATCGTTATAAGTAAACTTGAAAAAAACATGAAAATAATCTACAAAATCTTATTGTCTGACAAGTATTCACACAGAAGTTATTCATCATTTTTGTGTACTCAACTTTTCCGATGAATGCAGTACGTAGTTATATTAACATTTCCATTCACTTCTGCAGACTGTTTTCATGCCATCTGGAGAAAGGAAAAACAACAACATGCGTTTACTTCATTTAGACACCAGTTTTATGCTGTTTATCACCAATCTTTAACAGATTTTGATTGAAAAAAGTGGGCCCTGAGTCAAAACAAATAACATATGTGAAATTAGCATATGAAACTGAATCGATCTATATGCGTTTCAAACGTTTTCAACAAATTTTCTTTTCTCGAAAAATGAAGCTGGAGTCGCCCTCAAAATCTAGTCAAAAATGAAATTAATTAAAATACCAGTTTTATTGTTTAGTTGTGTGTTCTTTTGTGTTTCATCGACGTTTTATAGGCTAAGATCTTGTTTTTCACTGACAGAATGAATGTCTAACTAAATTCATTTGCTTGACTGAACCTTGAGGGTGATCCCAACTTAATTTTTCGAAAAAAAAAAGTTCGTCAAAAAACTTCCAACACATGTAAATCGACCGAGTTTTATATGCTGATTTCAAATATGCTATTTGTTTTGATTCAGAACCTATTTTTTTCAATCAAAATCTGCTAAACATTGGTAATAAAAAGCATAAAACTGGTGTCTAAACGAAACTTAAGTAGTCTTTTGTAATGAAGGTCACTTCTAAAAAATTGAAAAGTATCTGGTTTTGTAGCTCTTTCTACGAACTGTAAGAACCAGTCGAAAGCCCATGTTGTTTTTTTTTCATTTCTCAAGATGATAAGGAAACAGTGTTCAAAAGTGAATAGAAATAATAATATAACGATATGACTTTCATACACATTCAGAACAATATTTAAGTCATTACTCAGCAACGCTTCAGCCTTTCGAATCGAAATTTTTTATTATAGATAGGCTCTAGAATGTATAGTCTATTGATATAGTTTTCAGTATGGATTGTCTTACCATGGAAAACTTTTTACGAGCCATCCTTCCATCTATAAATTATCCGTTTTTTGTACAAACGAGGATACCAATAAATTTAGACAAAATAGGACTGGATCCTTCAAAAATTGCTTCATTTTTTTATCAAACGATTCTTTGTGAAATTTTGCATTAAGTACATCATGAGTAGAGGAAGACTAAGTATGACCCAAAAACGGTCCTTATCCGTCCTTGTCCTTTTATAATTTGTGTCTTTTTCTTCCATATAGATTCGTCTAAACGAAAGATTTTTCTGAGTATAAAAAACTGTTTTCTCCATGTAACTTCAATATGGTAAACTTTCTGAATTTGTATCTCTGAAGAAGACACATTGCACAAGAAAAAAAATTTTACGAGCAAAACTGAAGAGGCATTTTGTCGTTTTACTTGTAGATAAGAACGTGAATAAGGGTATGGCAATATTTATTTCATAAAACGTGTATTACTGTTGATAGCTTGCAAAACTTATCTAACTGCATGTTGAAAACGAAAATTATTTTTTATTTTTTATTCTTATTTAGATTGAATATTCTTGACAAAAAAGAATAACAATCGAATAAAATGCATGGACAATCATATTATCAAGGGCCAATAGCGATGCCAACAACGCAAAGACAGGGCCGACGAGTGAGTGATGGCGTATCTGGTGCTATTCCCGGCGTTTTCGGTGCTACACAATTAATTCTCTGTGTAATCATAGTTGCTCTCGAAGTAGTAAGTATATATTATGACCCAGGTCGAGGTACTATTTATGCTGGTTTATGGTCTTCAGCTGTTTTTTCCGTCACTTGGATATCTATGTTTTGCTATCGTAAGTCTTACTTAAATAAATGATTATGTAGGTTTCTGACTAATATATATTTGTCTATATAATTAGTATGTTGTGGTAAGTCGTCAGGATGTGGAGTTTATTTGGTTATTCAAAATATCATCAACTTGATTTTTACAATCCTACTTTTGATATTCACTTCCCGTTTTGTAAAAAATCCTTGTTTATGCTACAGTGCTTTATGTTACCTGCCCAATTGGGGTGATATTTCCCGTGATGACGATGACGATGACGATTATTTCTCATATTCATGTACTTCAAGAACATTACGAAAATTACCAGTACTCAAGGGTCTTCTTGCTTGTGCAGTTTTAATGCTTGTTTCTAATATTTTATTTATTGTTATATATTCAATTGTTTCGATTCGATTACGTCGTAAGGCAAGATGTAATACTCAACAACCTAATGTTGCTTATCATCAACAATCCGCAGCTGTGCAATTGGGAAGTCCGCCACCATATTATCCATCTACTACGGCTTATCCTTCTAATCAACACCAATACTTATATCCAGTTCAAGATGCACAATTGCCATCAGCACCGCCACCTTATGAAACCAATTCACACAAATTTTGATTTATCGAATTCAGTTCTTTAATCAAAGACGATATGTCTTTATTTTTAAGAAAAATAAAAAGACAGATAATTTATCTAATATGTATTCCATATGTCACACTGATTTTCCGTTTAAATAAAATAATTCTATGCAAAAGTTTTTTATTATCATTATTTTCAGAGTTTTGGTTTTTTCGAATATCACGGAAGAACTTTTCTTCTTTGTTTTAATTCAACTTTTACAAAAAAATATATACTTTTATAATCTTTGTATTTAATAATTTATGTGAATATTTTTCATGTTAAAGTAATTTTAAGTAAGACAAAATTTTTGGCTCTTGTTTATTTTAGAAAGTATAATCGATTTTTTTTGTTATTTCTCAATAGTAATAGTATTCGAGATACTAATTAAGAAATGATTTTATTTATTTATTTAATGTTTGTATGCTCTGACGTTTCAAAGATTTTTTCAAATTAAATTAATGAATCTTCTTTGAAACGTCAAGTAATGTCTAGTTATATTATCTAAAAGATTCTATTTAATTTAATTTAGGAGGTAGAATATATTATTCTACTCAAAAGAGAACACGATTTTTTATATTAATTTTCAAGTGAAATAATTTATTCATCTTCATTATTTCTTGAATGAAAACGTATAACAATTGATTTTGTTCATATTTTTATGTAACCTTTGCACTCTGACTTCGATATGCTCACTAAATTATTCATTTTATGTTTTCGTTTTCCTAATTTAAGTTGACGTCTTTGTGCATCCTGGAACACAAGCAATTACTTTGAAATCTATTTTTTACTCAATATTCTTTCTCGTGTTTTATAATTTCTTTTTATCAAAATCATTAGTAATTTCTTAGTCAATGTCTGACGTTTACTCCAAGTTAAATTGGTTAATCTGAGTGCGATACTAAGCTTCATTTCATATTAGGACTAGCCTGACCCTTAAACCTTTGAGACCAGAGATGTAACAAAAAAAAATCGGTTCAAGGTTTGTGTGTGCTTAAAATATTGATAGATGTCTGAGTGTTTGCTCTGTGTATTGAATAAAATGCATGTTAATATTATCATATGAAAATAGCATACATTAAAACATCATGAGAGCGAACGCACACCAAGATGTACAATGAAAGAAGTGAATGAATAGAAGACCGATGCGTAGAGAACTTCTGAACTGATCATGATTACGAAATGAATTCACATGTTTTCTCGACTGAATTACTGTTACTTTTTTTTCTGCTATTTATGGTACGAGAAAGATTTTGCATTCAGGAGCATCTTACACGATTAAAACAAAAATTCGAATTATTTTAAGGAAGACAAATACCTTTACATGGATTTTAGAAAAAATTCTCAACATTTTTATTGCTGAAGGCGTTCGCACTTGCTCAAAATCATAAAGAATCAAAATTTCCTTAGATTAAGATATAAGTCTTGGAAAACTGCTTACACTTATGCAACTGACACTGCTTCTTGGTGCGAAATATTTTGCGTGCTGATCAAAAATCAGAGAGTTCTTATATCAGCTATGGTTGAATAGTTGTTAGTTTTTACGTAAAAGAAAAACTTTTTAGCTTCACTGTACGAGTTATTAGAGAAAAGCATCATTTATTTTTTGGATTTTTGAAAAAGTTTGATAAAATTTCAGTGCTTATTTGTTTTTCGATCTTTTGACTAATAACAACAATGAAATTTCCCATCATTGTGAGTGTGTTTCATATCCCTTATCGGACTACTCTTGTTTCGAATTCAGAAATGAAATCTCTTTTTTTTTTTTTTCTTCATTACTGAACCACTTGATTCTCGTTTATCATGTTTCATCTTAATGAAATTTTTTCTGCTTGAATCAGAATAGTTCTTTCTTCATTTGTTCTGCCTCAATAAATAAGTTTTATCTTCAACTTCGACGCATACATTTCTACAAACTTTGAAAAAGAAAATAGAATTTCATTTTCAGTTAACACAAAATAGTATCAATGTTAGCTGAGTAAAGTACCATGAAACTTTAATTCATGTGATAAAAGTAATATTTTTCTATTCCAAAAGAACAAGTTAACTACGTAATGATTATAATTAAACTAAAAAACATTAAAATGATTATTACACAGATAAGTATTAAATGGATAATTTTCTCAGAACGTCTTAACTAAAAAGTCTTTTATTTATTTTAAAAATATTGTAATGATGAATTATTAAATTTCACTCCGTCAGAATGATTTCACGGAAGCATCGTAAAATTTTTTTTTTAGCATCCAACTAAAATTAAGATACTTATGCACGGATGGCAGTGTCTATCAGGATCTCAGAAAAAGAATACTTCAAGAAAGGTCGTCTTCCACATAGTTTGTCAGGACGCTGCGATCGATGCGTATGTTAAATTGAAGACTTGTAACCTGCAAACTCATTTTCATGATTTTTTTTGAAAAACGGATGTACTTTTTCCAGTGCCATACGAAAGAAAAACAACTAATTGACTTTCTCCGTAATTATATTCTATAGAAAGATGTACAAGAAAAATCTTGCAGTTTGAAATACGCTCTATAGATTATTACATCGTCTTAATAATGTCTACCGTTATGAATGCATTTGATCTAGTAAAAAATTTTATTTTGGCATTAATCCTTTTTCTCTCTGTAATTTATTCCATTCCAATTCTAATTAATCCTCAATTTCATTGTCGTTCTAACATTTTCACACTTAATATCAGTACTGCTCTTATGTGTTGTTGCATCTATTGGTTAATTCATTGCTTATTATTCAGTTATTATCAGACAGAAATTTTTATTGAGAAATGATGTGTTCTTCAAATTTATATACAAATAATGTGCACTTGTCAGTTAGCATTGGCATCTATTGTGGTACCTATTAGTCGACTTTTTCCAATAATATATCAGAGTAAATTATTTTTTAAGACAAAACATTGGTTTAAATTATGTATTATCAGTCAATGGATAATTGGTTTTGTCCTGCCAATTCTACTGATGCTATCGCACACACCAGTAAGAAAATTTGTTTGTGTAGTTAGTTCTATCATTAGTAAGAACTCAGCGTAAAAGTTTATACAGTATCTATGAGAGGTGGTTATAAGTATTTTGTGGAACTTACATATATATTTTCAAAGAAAACATTGAGTATAAGTTTTAAGTTGAAGTTCCGTCGCTCCCCTGCCCTTAACAGACCTTATTCATCAAGGACAACAGGTGTCAAACTCTTTTCCTAGTCTTCTTTAGTGACGTGAAAAGACGCTGAATGATATTAAGGACAAGAGTTAGACTGTTATAAAGTTTTCCTCGAAACACGAATGGTTGAAATATGGTAAACCTGAAAAATGTCGAAAATAAAAATGTCGAAAGGAAAAATGTCGAAAGTAGAGGCGTTAAGAGATGTGTGGGTGACTCGATAAGTGGCGCCTCTACTTTCGACATTTTTCCTTTCGACATTTTTATTTTCGATATTTTTCAGGAGAACCGAATAGTTATGCATTGATTGGCCATAATCGTCAGTGTAGTCAACGTAACAAATGTGAACTGATCAAATTAAAACTTTGGTAAATAATTAATATCAGTGTCTGCTAACTTATCGAAATCTATAAGGAGACTAAAGATCACATGTGAGTTCCACATTTCAGCCTTAAAGAGGGTGCGCTAACAAGCGTCTTTTTAACGTAACGAAATATATTGAATCAATTAATTCAATAGCAAAGATAAGAAAGAAATTGTTTTTAGTTTTTACTTGATTCTTTTTTATTCAATTAATATTTACCACTTTCAAAAGTACGATTTTAGAGTTGATTGAAAAATATTCTTTTATATTTGTTTACTTCTAGGATTGCACTTCATCATGTTGGCGTTCAATTCATAAAGTGATTATAGTTGCTTCAATACCTTCCTTGGTTTCTCCTTTCGTTAATGCTTTAGTCTTCATCTATATTTGTTCTTCGTTTCGTCGTGTTCAATGTACACCTCAAATTGGACACACAGATACTAACGAAGTTTTACAAGTAAAAACTAATCGTCATAATATTAATTTACAACGATATATGACGTATATGTTTTGTATATTTATTGGAGCTTGTGGTCCGATCCTTTTACTATTAGCAATGGATTTTAGAGACAAGATTAGTTCAGCTATATATATAATGCTTACTGTTTTTTCTGAAGTAAGCTTACTAAGTATTATTATCAATTTATTTCAATACAATCACAAATTAAGACACTATTTAAAAACTAAGACTACTACGCAGTTAAATATTGTAATTTATTTCATAATAGATTTTATTAAACGATGATAGAATTAACTTTTTAGTCTTTTTGATAATAATATTGATTGCTATGAATGTTTTTGACTATATTAAACATATGATAGAAAAATTGTGGTAAAATTTTCTGTTCAATATGATGAAGTCTTTAGAAGAGATTCATTAACATAGACGAAAAATATCATTGTTATCAATTTAAAGTTCTGTTCAAAATTCCCCTATCAACAATTAATTTTTTATTCAGTATGCGGTATTCGATGGTAAAATCGGCTAGAATAGTTTTCTTCATTTCTTTTTTTCAAGTGAACAAAACAAAAAAAACTAAAAGCTCAAGGTTTTCAAAAAGACTAAAAATAAACATAATCAAATACTAAAAACATTTCCATTCATAGCTGTTCACAAATTTATCTGAAAATAAAAAGATGCATGTTCAAACAAAAAAAGACTTACTTTGTGACAATGCCTCAACAATAATATGAACATATTTCAGTCGATATCAGACAACAGTCATTAATATTTTAATAAGTCTTTTTATTAATGACGACTAAAAGTGTTTCAAGATATCAAAATAGTTTCTAATACGTCGTGTATAGATGGTGTAATACATTAAAAAGAGAATTTTTCAGTACTCTATTTATGTGCCTATTCATAAAAATACTATGCATAAAATCATTTAAATCAATGAATAATAATCCGAAATAAAATATGCTTATTATAATATTGATAGAATAAGATGAGTTTACAGTATTCATCTACACAATATTCTATGCTGAGCACATTTTCATAGAATACAATAGTTAACTCTCGCTCTATTTCTCCTAAAAAAAACATAACTGTCTTGAGTCTTGGTCTTATACATGAGGTTACTTTGACCTGTGTTTTAATGACAGTCGTCAATAGTATATCTTAAGAAGTCGAAAACTACCTGTGAGTATTTATAAAATGTACTTTCTTCAAATGCGATGATGTTTTGTCTATTCTTAAAGTAAATTGTTTCAATGTCTTTTTCAACTATTAAAGGGTGTCCCATAATAACTGAGGATAATTTTTTATTCATATTTTTCGTAGTTTTACTCGACGTAGAAGGCTGAAATTTTTTATCACATATACATCTGATCCAGATTTTTTATTGCTGAAAGTTTCAGTTCTCTAGCTATAACTAGTGGTAAAATACATCGATAAAACTGAATACATAAATTTTCGTAATCGATTTCTGCATATATGTTTACTTCGAAAATATTGTAAGATAGTTCTAAGGGATAGTCAACCAAAAAATCACAAAGTATCAAAAAAATTTTCTTTCCTATCAGACTTTGTAGAGCTATTTTAGCTGGTCATTTTGGTAAAAAAAACTTTTCGAATTTCATTCAGAAATGACAATGTTATGGTTAAAAAATTAAACACTGTAAAATAGCTTAAAATATAAGGAAAAATCGATTCATATATCTCAGAATGGCTATTTTTTGAAGAAATGTGACAGAGTAGCTTTGGTAGAGGAAAGTTTGCTCTACAAAACCCTATAGACGGTTTCTCAGATACGGACGAATAGAATGAATAAATCACGATTGAACATTGTATACGATATTTCTATCAAAAAAAAATCTGACATCTTCGGTTTTTATGATAAATATTTTGATCATAACATCGTCATTTCTCAACGAAATTCAAAAAATTTTTTTATCAAAAGGATCAGCGAAAAAGCTCTACAAAGTCTTATGCGGAAGAAAATTTTTCGATACTTTGTGAGTTTTTGGTTGGCTACGCATGGCAGTACCCTGCGAAATCGATTACGAAAATTTATGTATTCAGTTTTTCCGATGTATTTTACCACTAGTTATAGCTAGAGAGCTGAAACTTTCAGCGATAAAAGATCTGGATCAGATGTATATGTGATAAAAATTTCAGCCTTCTACGTCGAGTAAAACTATGAAAAATATGAATAAAAAACTATCCTCAGTTATTATGGGACACCCTTTATACATATTAATTTTGTTATTCTTTATTTATTTTTATTTCATATTTATGTCGCAGCGTGTGGCACATTTAGCTCAAGGTAATCAAATGCATAGTTATTATGTTGTTTATGCAAGAAGAAAAATTACTTGTAAGCATGTTTTTTTTCAGGTACTTAAAATGAAATGCGAACGATTCATATCGTTACTTACATGTAGTTATGAAGGTAATGTCGATCATACAAAGTAATTCATTTGATTTTAAGAAATGTAAAGCGACACTAGAGAAATGATGCAAAATAAAGACTTTTAGTTCATATTGACGAATGAAAAATGTTTTTGCTTATTATTTATATAGAGTATTCAATAGTTATATTCAGATGCAGCTCAAACAATGAATGTTATTCAATCAGAAGTAATTGAGATTAAATTATAAAATATTTAATAGCTTTTATCTATTCTTCAACTAAAATAAGCACATCCAGAACTGTAGAAATTCTTTTTTGAAGTAACAAATTTATTTCTCGATAAATATTATTCTATTTATAGATTAATGGATTATCTTCCTTATTTATTAAAAAAATATAATCTTGATCTTCAACCTAGTAATTCAACTTGTATTGATATTGAATCGGCCAAATCTGTTCTATATCCAGGTGCTCATATTGCTACTTCAAATCCTTATGAACATTATCATCATGGCATTGTTGTCGATATGAATACATCTGATATATCTATTATTCATTTATGGGGTCCTGATAAACATTCGGGTCGTGTTCAAACTACTACTTTGCCCATATTTATTGCTGGTAGTATCGATAATGTAGGCAAAAAAACACGTCGTCTTTATTTGGTCAATTATGATAATGATACTTTTGACAAACAACAAGAAACAATTCAAGTAGCAAAAAAAATGCTTGAAAAAGCTGATGATATTGTATATAACATAGCTACTCTAAATTGTGAAAGTTTTGCTTGTTTTTGTCGAACAGGAAAATGGAACAGTGAACAAACCGAAAAACTCAAAGATTTATTCATACAAAATTTTTTAGAAATTTATGAAACGTTGAAAAATGCGGATGAAAAAAATAGAAAACAGATTTCTTCCTTATTACAAACCGTTCCATTGGTTGCTTTAAATGAATCAGACAAAGTGTTATATGATCAACTTTGTCAACAGTGTAATAATGAATCATCAGAACAGTAAGAAAAATAAACATTTAATGAACTGATTTGAAAAAATTTGAACATCATGTCGGAAATCTAGCTTTTTTCTGAAAAAAAACAAAACATATTCCTTATTTGCAATTTGAACACATCAAATACAATTTATTAATAAAAATGAATTTTTCTATTGATGAAAAATAAATGTAAAGAGCAAATAAAATCAAGTTCATACGTCATCACTACCAATGATGAAATAGCAGACTTAATGAGATTTACAATAAACGCATGACCTTAAAAGATTTCAAGAACTAGAAAGTCTTCTGATTCCTTTTGATCACCAATATGCTAATATCACATCAATTCTAATTTTGTTCTATCAATGACATCTTGTGTTGGTGATAGATCAAATGTAACAATTATGTTAGCTTTTGTATGTTTGACTGAACGATGTCCATTGAATTTAATTTGAATTGACCTAGAGCTGTCTTGTTTCGATGATGACAATGACTTAATCGAAGGTATCAAACATGCTGTAATTTATTAAATATGTAAACAATATTAAAATATCGTTATCAAAGTATGTGTATAGCTAAAATAATAATAAAATTATTGATAGAAAATTATCATCAACTCTAATTGAATACTCAAAAGAGTAAAATAGATTTGAAAAATTTTCAACGGTTCAACACCGCCAGACTTTAAAAAGTTTCGTAAGTCTTTATATCAGATCGATGAAGTCTTACAAACTACTATAAACTATAGCGCATTATATAATATATAACTCGTTTGAAGAGTCACATCTAAATAGTATCAACGGTATTCTATAGAATACTTTTAAAACTCTCGAAAATATTTTCTTCAAGAAAAAACAATTATTTTTATTTAAAATTTGTATACAAAAAAAGAAACGCGCCTGACATGATTGGAATGTTTAGTTCAAACACGTACACATAGATTAGAATTTGAATATCATGTTATGTATTTTTTCTCACAATTGTTTGCCTTCAACCAGCTAATTGATCGGTGATATTGTTGATATATTTTCATATTTTCATCTATTCTTACTTCTCCAATGGACAATTCAGCCAAAATTAAATTTATCGGCATTGTATTTATCAAGCAAATTGCTTCAAATTTAAGCAATACATACATATATCATTTTTTGTTAATGCTAAAAATAGAGAGAGAGAATAAATTCAGTTATTTCTATCAATGAAAGCTAAAATGATACAAACTCTGTATCTTCACGAATCATTATCGTGGTACATTTTAACAAACGCGTTAAAATAATGATAGAGAAAAAATAAAGTATATCTATTATTGTATAATATTAGTACACTTGACTGTTAACCAGAATATAACTCATCCAAATCTTGTAAAAAAAAACCATCACCTGCTCTATCCTATTAATTTTATGTTTAGCTTCATACGTTGTTCGATTGTTTACTGTAGAATATGATATGTAAGTTTTATGTTTCGCTTGCAATATTGTAACATGCTCATTTCTATTGTAGACTATTTATTTATTATACATTCAGCTGTTCCTCTTTCTCACTATATACAGATAAGAGATGCACCTAATTATGCTGCATCATTACATTTTCAAACATCTTATATTGAGATCATTTTTTTCATCTGTAGATAGTCAAGATTAAACTATTTCGTAGTAGCTCAAATTATGCATTCGGGGTATGCATACCACAAGTCATGAAAATGTGACATATTTTATTTATCGTATGCTCGATATATTGGAAACTTATTCTTCATGAACATATCTTTCGATACTATATGGCACATCATAGATGAACCCAAAGAAAATCGTAATGCAGAAAAATGAACACTCACTCTCAATCTTGTCTTCACTCTGATTCTTGCTTTCATCCCAATGTTCACTTTTCTTTTCATACGCTCTGTTTCATGTTCAAATAAGTACTTTTATAGGTTTTGTTCAAACCTATAAATAGTAAATTCTAAATACTTTTTACGCTTTGTTAGAAGAACCTTTGAATAAATTTGAAAGATCGAATCGATTACATACTAATTCTAAACGTTAACAGAAAAGGCATCAAAGATGAAGCTGTACGTTTCAAAGCTCGATTTTTGATCGCTATTTGCTAGATAGTAACACCATGGAGATATCGAAAAGTCTAGTATGATGATATCAGTAGTAAAAAAGTGAAACAAATCAAAGGTACATATTGCTTGTTTCGGATAATTATGGTCAAATCTAATAATTAGCACGATAAAATGCGATTATAATCGTTGACGTGAATTTCATAGATTTAGAGACTAGAAAATATAGAATGTGAGTACAGGTTATCTTGACCCAAATAAAAAAACATACGATATCTCATCCGACTTGCTCAAGTTCAGTATTGATCGATGCAAGTATTTTATTTTCTGTCTGATGTGTAACTATGTTTTAATTGGTTATCATTAGTACCGAAAATCGTATTTAGTTTCTCGTTTTGCTTAGACTGGGAAAATACTGAGCTAATATATAACGACCTCTATCAAAACAGAGTTTATATGCTCAATTTATATTTAGTTTAATTTTCAAATTCGATATGATTGTTAAAATGATCAGATTCAATTGTTTTTTATAAATAAAAATATCGACTTATTATCAATATCAAATTCATGTCCAATCCTATGATCATCCATGAATCATATCGTTCTTTTATTTGTTTCTGTCCTTTATTTTGATGACGAGAATGGCAATTGCCATTTTCCTTATTCTCGATTGATCAAGTTTTTGATTATTTTTCTTTCCTTTCGTAACATTGTCTCGTGCTTATTCATTTTATCTTATTTAACATTCCGCTCACTTTCTAAACCCATAATGCAGTCATATGAAGAAGCTCCTCCACCATATCCTGGTACAGTACCAAATGCTGCTTCAAATGTAGTAAGATCCAAAGGTGATTATAAAGGTGTACCAATATATGAAATAGGTTCAAATGATACTCCTATTTGTAAGTATTTTTTAAAATTATTTCTTTTCGCAATTTAAAATAGGCAAATAACCTTTGTTGTATAGATAATGAAGTGACGTACCAACAAGTACCGGTAACGACATCCGCACCAATTCTAGTTGGAACACATGCTGTTCAACTCGGCCGTAATCCAATTAATTGTATTTGTCCTCAGTGTCATCAACAAATTGTTACACGAATCGATTATGTATGCATCTGTAAAACAGAACGGATTTAAAAAAAAAATTTTTTTTTTTTATCTATTTAGTATTCTGGTTCATTTGCATGGCTTATGTGTTTGTTACTTGCAGTTATCGGGTAAATATAATTTTATTTTTTTTATTCTTCTTTTTGAATAATTTATTTTCTTTTTAAAGTTGTGTACCATGCTGTATAATTCCATTCTGTGCAACATCATGTCAAGACGTTACTCATATATGTCCTTATTGTTCAACAATAATTGGTCATCGAAAAATTCTTTAGATGCTATACTTTGTATTTGTATGAGACTTGTTCTTTTTTCTTTTATGTATAATTATGGATTTTTTTTCACTAATCACGCTCTTATATTTTCACACATCACGCTCTATTTATTGAAAAAACGCTTGTTAGTTAGTGTCCATTTATTTTTTTTACTAGTCATTTTGTTTCTCATCTCTATTAAGTTTCATTTGTTTAAGTATTTATTGAAAATAAAAATAAGATCTGATTTGTTCTTTTTTTTGTCTCTCAAAATTAAAATTATTTAAAAAACAAAAAATTTATTTTGATAATTTGTAGATTATAAATTCAAATACTTGATGTCTTTACGTACTAGTGATTCTTCAGTAACATCAACATCCATAATGAAAAAATCATCATTAAATTCAGATGTATGTGTAAAACGTTTTTGTTTTTACAAGTAGAATTCATTGCAGTGATTTTTGTTTTATTTTTAAGGACTTAAGAGAACGTACAGAAGAATTTAAACAATCCTTGGTAATATGGCGTAACATTTTATTACCATTAAATAATTTACTTGAATGGGAACATAAATATGATCCATTTGTTATTTTCGGTATTATCACTTTTATTTTCATGTAAAATAAATTTTAAATTTTTATCAAAGGAAAAATAAGTATTTTATTATTATTTCTAATATTAGTTTTATACTTCAAGCAAATCCACCTATACTAACACTTGTTAGTTGTGTTGTTCTGGCTTTTGTACTTATTGATTTACTTGTACCAATTGCCATTCGCCTCCTTTTTAAGAATGATTATTGGTTAGTTGTTAAAAAAAAACAAAGGATTATCTTTCTTATGTTTTTTTTTTCTCATTACTTATATTTATTGTAGGACATCAGCTAAAGATGTTAAATATACTCGATTATGTGAACGTATTGTTAACTTTGAACAACATATTAAAAAATTATGTGAATCAGCTTTAAAAATGCGCAAAGAACGACCACTTATGGTTATAGATTAATCATTAGTTTTATGCTTTTTATTTTTTTTAATTTATTTTTATTTTAGTATTTGATGCTCGGTGCAATTTTTCTTTCTTTTATTGCATATTGTGGTCAACGTGTTGATAATCTTCTTCTTAGTTATTTAACAAGTAATTTTTATTGTTGTTTTTTTATTGTAGAAATACAATAATTTAAGATTTATTCTTTTAGCACTTATAATTTGTCTCATACCTGGCATTCGTAATCGTCAATTGATTCCATCGATTCGTCAACAAATTGTCGATTTTTGGTATAATAAAAAATCAACACCAAATGTATCTGTTTCAAAGTCAACTCCAATAACATCATCAGTTAAAGCATCAACAGTTATTCGTTCATCGTCAAATCAACCAACATATACACTTTATTCAACGACATCTCATGGAAGTAACAAAACAAAAGCTCAATAATTAGAATGATAAAAACAACAAATATTCAAAACTATTTTCTCACACCTTTTTCTTTTTTACCTTCTGAAACCTGTACAAAGTCACTTAAAGTGTATAGATTCTATATATATCATCGTTATATGTATCAAAATCTTTAAAAGACAAAAATAAAATCAATGGTTTGTATTTACATAGAGATAATATGATCAAACTTTTTTTTTTTAATAGACGTTCGTTCCTTTTTTTTTCCTATTCAATAAAATGCATTAAAGAAAAATCTTATCATTTAATTTTAGTTTTCCAAAGAATAAGTTATAAAAAATACAACTAATTGAAATAACATTAAATACATTTTAGATATAATATTTTGATAATGGGATAAATTTCTAGATAATAATTTTGATTACATAATTTGAAATAGTCTGGTAAGTCTAATCTTTCTTCTTTTTGTTTTTTCTTTGTCATTATTCAATTCATAATAGATTAGTATTTGTGACTTGAATAAATGTCTATGTCAATCTACTTGTTGTACTGCTCACATATGATGATATGTCTGAGAAAGAATGATGTTAATTTTGATAAATAGTCTATTTCTAATGCTTATATTTAAACATGATTGAAGCATGAATTTTAATAAAAATCAATGTTTGATTAATTTTGTTCGAAATCTTTTGGTAATGAATTAGAACGATCTAATTTTAAAAATTGTAAATGGGTATCGATACTAACGAGATTTTAATAAAACTTCATCATTATATATATATTAACATTTAATAACCTATTATTATATATGTGATTTTAAAAAGATTATATAATTTGATCGTATATATTCGTTTTGTTCTTGCTTTGATACTTCGTTATATTTAGATTTTATTATTAAATTATTTCAAATAAATTTTTTATTATCTCTGTTTAAAATATTGTTATTTTTCGTGTTTTTGATTGGATCTATTTCTTAATATGAGTTTTTGTTTTTTTCAAGTATAGTTAATTATTTCCAATAAAAACTAGAGTCAATGCTATATTCGCATATTTGATCATGCTCGGTATATAATAAACATCATTATCTTCTATTATTTTGCGATTCTTTTTTTCATACTCCATACTTGTTATTCATTTCGTCTGCATAGATTATTTCAGCTTCAATAAATATCCATCCAGATAGTTTCATATCGATTTACAAGAAGACATCAATTATTCTGATTTTTAGTTTTTGAACTCAGAACATAATTAAAAGCATCTTGAATATATATATATGATAATCAAAACACTAATAACATGGGTAATGTTTTCCAAAAAAAAAAATTATTCTGTCGCCATCTCAATCGTATGTAATCGTCTAATTTCATTTTATTCGATTTGTATTGAAAAGAGGTTTATAGAAGAAGAAAAAAAAACATAAAGATTAAAAGAATATAAAATCAGTCGACGCGCTGTTTGTTTAATCGAATCCCAAGTCGTGCTGTGAAATCATTACATATTTCACATTCGAAAAGAAAAGTTCTTTTTCATTATCAATCAAAGCCAAAACATAGATCACATGCAAATAAAGATTCAAGATAAGATAGACAAGAAAAACATTGTCTACAGAGAAAAATGAAGTTCAATCTAAGCAAACTTTCATTATGTGATGAATATTTTGAATGAGTTTTAATATGATTGATATTGTGTTTATGCTTGACAGTTAATCTAAATTTATGTAAAAGAAATCAACAAAATGTGACTTTTTCCTATTTTTTTTGTATCATTAACAGAGAAGAAAAAAAGTGTTTTGAAACCATTTGCATATTTTTCATGATTGAATGAACAATTATTATGATCACATATTTTTGTTGATAATGACTGTCTCATCGCTCCCGATATAACACTTTGATCAAGATGTTTTCAAGAAAATTTTTTTTCTAAGACAGTAGCAAACAATAAGTCTTTTTATTTAAGTGTATCATTTTACCCGGTTCAACAATCCTCTTACAATAAATATTCTGCATCGTGAAATGTGAAAGATCTAATGAGAAAATAAAACAGCAAATTTTTTGAATCTTATGTACGCTCTACAATCTTTATAAAATCTTTACTGGGAACTTAAGAATAGAGAGAATGGGTGGATGATTTCATTGTGTATGTGACACTTTATACATGACTTTTTCAAAATCGATTTTCATGTTTGAAATCGTGTAGAGCATAGTCGATTTATTTACTAAGATAACAAAAAATTCGCTATAAATTCTAATGTTGAAGAAATTAGTGATTCATAAGATTAATGAGAAAAATAGCTTATTCTATATCAAAGCACTATAAATAAAGCTAAAATGTCCATCATCATATCTCATTAATGCAGAAATTAGACATATAGTGACATAGCAGGTGTTATAGAGCAAAATTTGCTCTGCACGCCCACATATAATACTTTTCAGAGAAGTATCAAACAGGGGTTATTTCAAGACGAATCTATTATCATAATTAATCCAGGTATAGTTATATATACTATAATATGATAAAATTTTTCAAGCTGAAATAGTCCCTATTTGGTACCCCCATGAAAAGTGTTATATATGGGCGTGCAAAGCAAACTTTGCTCTACAAAATCTACTATGTCACTATGTGCCAAAAATTCTGCGTTAATGAGATATGATGACGGATATTTTTGCTTTATTTATAATGTTGCTATATAGAGTTAACTATTTGTTGCATTAATCTTATGGATCATTAATCTCTTCAACATTAGAATTTATAGCAGATCTTTTGTTATTTTAGTAAGTCAATCGACTATGCTCTACACGATTTCAAGCATGAAAGTCGATTTTCACGAACTTAATGTAAACATGTCCGATATACGACGGAATTACCATTTTATGTAATTGAGATGAAATATAGTGAGTGCTTCTTATTTCCAACTCACATATAGAAATATATCGAGCTGGTAAGGTTCAGAAAATAATCACAATTTACGTCAAAAGACGTGTACTTACAAGGAAATTTTCCCAGGTGAAGTTCTGCTTTAGACGTGATATTTCGTCAATATGTAGGTCTTAATGAGACTAGAAAAATCCTAGAAGAGTTTGAGTTTCTATTGTTTTCTTGTTGAGATATGAAGCTGACATACGTTAACTTGCACGGACACGGGTATCTAAATTGAAGTCGATCTTTGTCAAACGAGACGTGCATGCGCCACCTATGAGTGGGCAATAAAGCGACGGTATAGCGAAGGAACAGGATTCTGTTGTCTTGTTCTTCCTACCTAAGACCTACATATGGACAAAATATCACGTATAAAGCGGAACTTTCCCAGAGAGAATTTCTTCGTTAGACATGTAAACTTGGCCATTGAAAATGAAGAAAACTTTAGGTAGCTTTTAGTTTATCTAGCTCGAGTTTTCGGCATAGTTATTCTTCACTTTTTACAAAAGAGCGCTACATCAAGTTATTGACAATGTCGAGTCCGACAGTTAGTGATAGAAAATTGGATGTTTCCTCAAGAACTTTTTGTAAGTCTGTTTCATCATAAAAGTGTTACTATTTGTTGTCGAATGTGGTGAAAAAAGTTTTGAATTTTGTATAAGAATTTCGATGTACTGCATAAATCGATTGGTCTGTGGGAGCGAGAA